AGATTAATATTATGCGGCTTCAGGGCTCTGTAAATTCCATTTTGTCGTCATTCTGGGTGTTAACGAATATATGTAATCAAAATTGCGTCCATCCGTGACAATTCACTAAATTTGAATGTCAGAATATATCTCACAATCTATCCGGTAGTGTAAACTAGGATAAATACAGAACACAAAAACCGTGTTACGTGCCTCTGGGATTTCTTACTCATTTTCACGGTAGCACAACCGCTCGCAGCCTGAAAAAAAAGAGGTAAAATGGTTGTTTTGACACGAACACTTGAGGGGTTGGTGTGGCTCCTTTCTGCGGCGCACCCTGACAGTGCAAGTCACGTAGTGTTGCTTGGCGAAGGAGATGTGCCATTCTTGGGACAATTTGTCGGTGGAAAAAATCGCGAAGGACGATTGTGGATTTGGCATTAAAAATAACCGCGACAAAAATAATGCCACCCTAACATTTCGATCTCAAGATTTCCTATAAGTCCTAGGAATGCACAAAAGTAATCAGACCCAATTTTGTGAGGCCGTTTTAATTATTAGGTAAAAGCTGACTTTGAATCACCCGATTTTTTCAACGTGCGTCCCATGTTTAGTCCTGGGAAGGGCTTTTTCACCTTCCTACGGTAATGTTAACTTCCCCTGATGGGATACTTAATAAAAAGGACGATATGGCATTTCGCTTTCTGACCAGACAGGGCGGGTTTCAGCTTGCACGTCCCAAGTTTATTTACTTTGGGAATTAGTGCGGGGGCGGGTTGGGGTTACGGGTGGTTGGGCCGAGCTGAGTCACCACGCGAGGTGCAGGTTTGTGTGCCACTTGGCACAGAACCACTCATGTGCGGCTTCGTGGTTGAAAAAATCGCCTTCACCACGGTGGATGCGAGGCTCAAGAGGCCTTGGAATCTGCAAACGACCTAAATGGATTATTTCGGATTAGCATTTTGCATAAAGCCCTTAGTTTTATCCATCTACCAAGTGCTGATTCGCTTTAGGCGTGGTCCTTAATGCTCCGGGTCATTAGTTCCTCAAGGTAGCATTAGGCAGCTGCGAACCACCCCACGACAGCGACTCGTGGGTCACCTGCTTTTAGCAACTCGTGACGCCTACAATCAAGGCACGAGTAACTTCCAATGTCTGGTGTCAAGGGAACGAAGTGAACGCTATCGCCGTGGTGAACTAACGTGCCTACGCCTACACGCATTCGTCCACTTTATTGACGTCACAATGAGCCCAATTCGGTTGTAACGAACGTCATCATGAGCTATGCTGGAGATAAATCGAAAAACTATTTAGTTCAATTGGTGTTTTGACTCCCAAAGTGTCCTCACTCTTTGTGCAGAGTCACTTTTAGCTGCAGACTCAAAGTTCACAGAATGTTTTCACCTGGGATCGTGAAAATCCTCACACTAGGCGAGACGAGCCTACACCTGTTCGCTCAAGGTTATAACTATAAGTTGGGAAATAGGGAACAGACATCTCCGACTTCGATGATGACCTGAAATAACGATGCACACGTGATGCAGTTTGAGCAGGCTGTTCACATGAGGGCAGCAGGCGTTTCGGGAGGTGGATGCATCGTAATTTTTTGTTAATTGCAATGATTCATGCGCAGTTGCATCGTTATCGTCAGAATAAACAGAAATCATTTACATTAATTAGACCAATTAGTTAGTTCCTGCACTGGCATCCACCGATTTTTGAAAACCGATTCCTGGAGCGGGGGAGACATGCACAGAAGCGAGGAGGGCGATTAATCAGACGCTGCACGCAATGTCCTAAACGCGAGGCGATTGCCCAGATAGTGACTGATTCCCTACCGTTTCAGATGAAGGTATTTAAAATGAGGTTGGTATGCCCTAAGAACGTGAAGCAATCACACTGGTGTCCGTTGAACCCACCATCCAAAATGGAGTTTTGCAGATTTGGGTGTGCCATTGTTTACAAGACTGACATGGGTTCACTAAAATTACCGGACTAGTTTAAAATAATTAGAAACGCTGTCAAAATAATTTGTATCGAGCGCGGACACAAGTTTTTTTTTTGATTTTGCAGAGAATTTATTTGTGTGATTTGACTAGATTGACCTTCCACCCACCCCCCCGTAATTTCCAAACTAATTACCCTCCAAGGAATAAAGGATTGAACGGGCAAACCAGTCACACATAAATTTTAAATGCTAAAAATCCTCATGTCAGTCTTATTATCAGCAAAAATTACGGCTGACGGCATGCTTTAGCAATTGGCTCACCTTCCTCCTGCTTTCCCGTTATGGTAATAACTATGGCCAATTTTTTGCTGTTTTTCGTAAACCGACATTACATTCACAGACCTTTAAGTAGTCCTGGTGCTTACTCAACAACGTACTACTCTGATTTCGGCAAATACAAGGATGAAAATAAATTCTATGCCAAAAAATTAGGTGGTGTTTCTTTTAATCATATCAGAAATATGATATTTTCTAATAACGTTTGCTTGACAAAAGTTTTAGCGTAGGGCCCTACTACAGTATTTTTACTTTGCTAATTTTCCATCGGTAGTTTTGTTTGCACTTTGCTTTCAGGAATTTGTGTTGTATTAAAAAAAGCGACCTAATTGCAACAGAGGTCTGTTAGTTGTCCGGGCTAGGTGTGGTTCTTGCTACTCCAAAACCCAACGAATCCTGACAAAAATCGTATCGAACGACTTTTAGCTGTTGAAGTTATAAAATTCTGGCACAATGTTCAAATATTGTTCAGGAGTTTTTAATGTAATGTGCAAATCACAAATGTATGCTACTCCAGATGTCACCTATTTTTCTCCAAGCCCCAGGAACCGCCTCACCGTCCACTTTCTGGATATTTCTTCAGCCTGAATGTACTTAGCCAGAACACCATGACTACGAAGGACTCCTCGCGGTTATCGATGCCATAATTCCTCACCAAATTGCCTCCACATGGTCTACAAAGTTGCGTGTTTGACACTTAGTTCTAATCACTCGCATGCTTTGGCATAAACTTGCTAATATGTCTGTCAATTGGTAAAAATGTGCATAGATTCGAGGTGGAACCAGTGGTAACAAGTTATACCTCGTCAATGTTATTAGTGGGAGAGGTATGTGATTAGTATGAAAGCAGGTTAACGCATCAAAATTAAATTAAACTTAAACTCCGATAGTGACTATCTACCACGTCTTAATTACGCTTAAGTGGAGGTTTTAAAGAAGGAGGGTGTGCCTTAAAACCTAACCCGTTTCAATGTTAAGCATTGTGTAGGTTGTGTTAGTTATTGAAGCTGGATCCAGAATGGATTGTTTAAACCTTTATTTTTTTATAACTTAGTTTAAGAACTGCAAAACTGCTTCGTTTTAAGCTGTCAATCAGTTGACAGTTTTCACACCTTCGAATAACTCGATTATCTAGAACAGTTATTGTTACTTGTGTGTTCCTTGCACTTAACACCTGCGTCTGTTTCATGTTGAATGTCCTCTGCTCATATTCCCCAAAATTGCTCTGTTGCCGATATGAACTCCGGTTTGCAGTTAATGCATCTGGAGCTGTTTTGCCTTAGTTTTATCACTAGTGTCTATCTTTTTCCCAAACCAGACACTAATCATGTGTCCTGATTTTCAATTAACAGGCGGTTTCGTGGTCGTTTTTTATTTAGAGAAAACATTTTGGCTGACTCCATTGCTTAACCATTCACTGACGCATGGGAATTAATAACACTACGCAATTATTGGGCCTGGCCAATTGAAAACACACGAGGGTGAATGAAAATCGACTGGCACTTAATCGAAATCAATTAGTGCCAAGAAACCTCAATTCCTCACTTCGGTTTTGTCAAATCAAATCAAATTCATCCCCACTAACAAGGTTTTAAACTTACAAATATTAAAATTTACATATGCCACTTCTTGCAAAGCATGTTTGGACCTTTTCCTATATTTCCTTAACTGAGTACAGTAGAACATAAAATGGCTTATTTTTTCTTGACTTTAAGTGTCAGTAGCCTCTTCGAAGCTAGCTTGCGCTTCCACTAATTCTGAGGAAGTTTGCTCAAAAAGAGCTAGAGCAAATGGACATGAAAGATTTGCATGCGGCAGAAATTTCAACTAAATTAATTCGTCAACCAAAGTAAAATGCCCTAATTTATGTGTCCAATATGCAGTGCAGGTATCTGGTTAAAAATTAATCGACACAGAAAGCAATAAACTTGGTGAACTTGCCGTTAATTATTGAAGGAATAGCAGCATTTTTTGAGGAAGCCACTTCCAAAATCTTTGCCTGACATGTGCATTTACACGCGCTAATTAAAAAACAGCCATGTTCTAAAAGATTTTGAGATCGCCAACTCCGAAATCTGACTGCAGTTTCGTGGCGTGAAGCAATTCGACTTGAGACGCATGATTACTGTACGCCTGTCCAAAAACCAGGCTCATGGTAACAGCAACAGTTTGTTTAAACGATTTGTTTGTTTATCCTATCATCCCAGATTTGCAAACGATTAACTTACTTCATAAATTATTTTGTATTTTAAACAAAAAGCAAATGTAAATTATCTACTCACAAAATGCACAAGTGGTGTCACAACCATGATAAGGTGCTGAATGAACTCCACCACAGTCAGGTGGGAGTGTTTGAATTTGGTTTACCAATATTTTGGTGAATTTCATGAAAAATAAGCATTGAGTAAGGAATATGCTTTGTGAGAAATGCAACTTGACAATAAAAGGTTAGTTCCAAAAGTGGTTTCGGTCAAATGTTAGCTTTTATTAAAAGCAGTTTCCCTCAAGAACAGCCTTTTAACTTGGAGGTTCATTGCAAGCTCTCAGTTACCCAACAAAAATCCATCCAGTAATGTAGAAGACGTGATATTCCTGCACTGCTGTTCATTAGCACACTTATGCTTTCAGAGATGAAATCAAAGTTTATTTTATTAAAAAGATAATCAACCGTGATTAGTTTGCATGGAATGTGTGCATGATCGCCTTAATTCAATTCCTTCGCTTAATTATGGATACTTTAACGATTTTGGTGAATGTCAGCAGCAACAAATACCCGCCCGCCGCCCCGACGAACTCTCGACCCAACTTGGCGATTGGCCTGAACTGTTTTGTTGGCGTACTCTCCGTAAGCAGCAGCGAAGCCCCGTCTCGGTGGTGATGCTGCTCCATCTAGCCTGGAGTATCTAACGACGCCGTTTGGTGCGGTTTGAATATCCACCCCTCCATCTCGCACTGAGGCAGCAAAGATGTCACTCTTTTTGGAATCCCGATTCCAAGACTCGTTGATGGGCGATCTTAATGACGTGGCTTCACACTGAACCTCCTTGTCCTGAGTACATTTTAGCGTTGCTCTTCGAATCCCTGAATATTCTTGCGGACGTCCACCGCCATTTGTATAGCCAGCCTTGCCGATCTGGTCGATTGCCGTGGCAGATTTCGCCAGCTCACTGCGATAGAGACGAGGAGAAGAAAAGAGTTCGGCGTGTCGGCATCTCGGTGGAGGAGGTGAGCCGAAAAATCGTCTCAGAGGTGGATCGTAGTTGGTTCCCTTCTCTGCGTACCCCACTTTGCCGATGTCAATAGTGAGAGGAATGTTTTTTGAGATGCGACTTTCCACTCTAACACTCGGAGGTTGCGGCCCAAGTTTGTGCATATTAGTGCGACGTTCGTTAAGAGTAGACTCATCAAGGAATTTTTGGTAGCCACTTTTGGGGACCTCGGCATAAGAACCACCACTGTCTTCCATTTGTGAAACGTCTCGCACTGCAGAGCGCTTGGCTTCTACCGAAGGCGGGGACTTGGGCCGTTCATCGAAGTCACCTCTAATGACTCTAATCGGAGAGGAAGATTTTGGTCTTGGTGAAGCCACCCTTGATTGTCTATTCTTTTCGAAATCGGTAGCCATGAGACACGCAAAAACAGTCATCAGCATTCGGGGTTTGACCTCGGTTATGTCCTCCGGAACCGCATATATCTTTGCACCGATGCGCCTTGCCACTGTAATTGCGTACTGTGCGTTTGAAAGGCGCTCCTGACAAGGGACAAAACATGGTAATGATGTTACTGAATTCAAGTTTAAAACGCCAAAAATCCAGCTTTATCAGCACAAATCTCTACTTAGAGTTCACTGCTCATGGAGATCTCATACAAACACAATCTAGCCTTGTTTAGTTGTAAACCATGGCTGGTTTTAAGGCATACTAATCTCTTTAAGGAACTTCTTAAGAACTGTTTAAGAATGTAGTAACTCCTGTTACTTGCTTGTATTTACGTATTAAGTCGACAAAATTCCATGAAGCATCAATGACTGAGCGGATAGCAGCAAACTTCCACAGAATTTAACTTCCATCGTGTAAAGACAAATGCAAACATCTTTTCAATCTAAGTCTTTTCTGGTTTGTCGTAACCAGCTATAGAGCTACATTTAGGCAAACATATAATTTTGCAAAACAAAGGTACGTGGAGACTACTCTCTGCCAGACCAAAGTAATGCAATCCTTTTGAGCAAGTTAACTTCCTGCAAATTTAATTAATTGTCTCATTGGAAGTGAAATTAGTTCCGTTAGTGTGCAAGTCAGGCCTAATTATCTTCAATGTCAAAAACAGCTTTTTTTTTCAAGTCAATTCCATTCAGATTTGATTCACAATTATTGTGATTCTTGATCGATTCGGCAGCACGATTATGCATGTTTGGGACACCGGTTTCCACTTTCTTGTGCTTTCGTGAATATGCCTGAAAAAATGGCTGTCTTTTTCCAGCACTCAAATTAGCCGGCTGGATGCAGAATAGTAGTCATGGATGGGTGAAACTTTCCTGAGAGGAAACTGAATGGGTTCTGTCGTATATTTTCATTGTGGTGTTTTACACTTTACGAGTTCTATGCAATTTATGGATGCATTCCCCTCAAGAGTAAGCTCATTCCTCGAAAAAATTGCCAACTTTAATTTAAGTGTAAACAGTCACCGAAAACGGCGGTTTCTCTCTTCGTCAATTTTACCCATCTCCATGTGTAGAAATGCGCGAAACTTGACTCATGTTTTAGAGGTACAGGCTATTGCTGGTGTTGCCTTAGAAGTTGGGATCATTAAATTAAAATTGAGACCTCTGGCACATGAACTGACCCTTTAAAAGGCGAGACACTGGTCTACTATCATGATCAATGGGGTAGAACGGAAAAAACGATGATGAATAATGAATAATTTACTAAATTCGCGATGGATGGCATTGTACCAAAATCTGCGTGCAGTTTTAATTTTAAATTAGACACTGAGAGTGCTTTTTATTTTAGATTATAAAGATGGTTGCCGTTTTTAATGGTAACCTCTCCTTGTTCAAGAAGCTGCAGTATCTTTTCGCATGTTGGCATTTACAAGAAATCGTATTTGTCCCGAAAATCAGATTTTTCACTGTCACCGAATGCCGAAGAATCCTGTACTTTTGATTGTTCTGCTCCGCTTGGCAACTGCAACATTAATTTTTATTATTTCCTCCTGTACTTTTAGGGCCTGTATTCCGTTGCGTTCACTGACTATAATGACAGAGCCAAATGCTTGTCTTTTAGTAAACCAATGTTTATTGTTTGTGAAAACGCTCCTTGCGTGTCTCCTGATTTTGCACAAAGTGTGTGCGCGTGTAAACTAACTTGTTTTTTTTTCAAACTTAAATTAAAGTATTTTTTACGGCACCTGTATTATCTGGTAAAACAAATAAGTAGAACGCAAGTCTGTGGTTTGAAATCGTTAGCTACTGTCACAGTGATCGCAACGATATTGAGTGCTGATTTCACAGTGTCGCGAAAAGAAATCTCTTATAGTGGCGCAAAGGTCAAGCACCATCCAGCTGTTTGCTGCACACAAATAGCACCTCTCTGTTAACTGGATCTTAAAAATACCGCCCAATCAAGGGTGAGCAGAGCAAAAATTATTAGTAATCAGCTTCTTCGCCTCATCCACAAAAGTGCACTGGAGTCGAAGCTTTAGTACCACCAATAAGATGTCGCAGAGTTATACTGTTAATGCAGCATGCCACTGTTCGACATGACGACCAGCTTGTGCTTAGAATAGTCTCATTATTCACAGGCCAAGTTTTCGTATTTCGAGCGTGAAGTGAAATGCTTGTAGGTTTTGGCCCATATTGACTTACCAAAATTGCATTGTAGTCTAGACCACCCTTTTCATTACTGCTCATAAATGGCTCTTCAAATATTCAGCAAGTCAGTCGGCTCGGCGACTTGCTACTAACAAAGCATCTGCTTCTTTTTCGGATCGACTTTGTTTATTTTGTAGACGTGTTTATTACTCTAGTGATCGTGTTTGGAACCTCAAGGCCAACTAACAACAGGGCAATGCCGTTGGTCAGAAACATACCAGCAAGATAACTAGTTATGGGGCTTTTAATTGCAGAGGGCTAACAAGAAAGCAAACCTACGTCTTTGGAAGACAAATATCACTACTCATCTAGCATATCTTTTTCAGATAATTAAGCAGTCTTCTGCAGACTCTAATTACCTGTCAGTTGATGGACAATTCGACATTACAAAAATTTCAAAATGACTGAAGAATTTTATTCAGTGGATAAGGGAGAAAGTTGAAACCCGAGGCAAATTTTACAGCAATTGGATTACTGTGTAGCGACCAACATTTAATTTTTTGAAAAACAAACCAAATTTCTGAACTAATAATTCGTATTTGGGGTGTTATTGATAGAGGTCACATTTTGGGTTAGGTGGGAGTAATCAAGTTTGGAAATTGGATGTGGCTGTTTATCTACGAATTTCACCAAAGCTATAGGCTTATGGGTTCTTCAATTAGTAGGTTTTATTTCAACTATTGACTTCCAACTACAGCTGCCGAATTGCGCTATCCAAATAGTCATTAAATCCAACTGCAAAAGCACAGATTCCTGCAATGTCAAAACAAAATCCACCGACTTGTTCCATGACCATTTGTCAAATAAACATTTTATTTGTAGGTAAGATTTCAGCCACAATAAAACTGCTTCTAGTCTTTTCGAGAAATGCTTTACTATAGGAATATCGCTTTACCTAGGCTTCTAAATGGTGACTGGCGAAATATACTTAAACGCACGAGATCGACCAAAATCCTAGATTAAAATCAGTGGAAAAATCAAACATCGGCTGGGGCGATGAAGTAATGCATATTGTTTGGTACATTCCCATAGTCCGTTACCAGTGCAGGCGAACACTCCACCGTGGGAATCCACAGAGGCAACGACAATGAAATATGTTTCAAGCCTTCGACAGGAAGACGATTAAACGCGACAGTCTCTTTTTAAACCGAGAGTGTTGCAGTTACGAGATTTTTTGCGTATGCTTTTGTTTGTGTTAGAGAGATAATCACGTTTTGGCTAACCTAATTTGCATTCACTTTGTGCGGCTCGAAAGGCAACTTCTTTGGGCAAATCCTCAAGCTAGGGGGCCGAAACTTGTAGAAAACACTTTTTTTCAGTTAATCTAATAAACTAACTGGCTAAGTGGGCAAATGTACTTGTGTTTTCATTTTCCTTTTCTCCCTTGCAAGTTTTTTTTGGATAATTTTGTCCAGTTAGTTACAGCCTGGTGTGTTTTTCCTAGATTTTATCGATGAAGGCTGCGTGGTGCTGCATCAAATTCTAAGGCACAGACAGAATCTGTCCTCTCGATATTTTAATGGCTTACGAGGAGATACGCTAATCTTGGCTATTTGGGTGGTGGTCCATTTGCAAATGAAAATCGGATGCTTAACCCATTAAATTATTCCACTCATGAAGCATTCTCAAGCCGATTTTATCATTAATTTACACTAAAACTTCGATCTGACTGCCAGAAAAAAAACGTTGCATTCTGACCCTACGAATATCCAAGGTAATTACGTCCAGATATGTGCAAACCTTCGCTCGGATTTTGTATCAGAGGTCTACCTTAGTCAATTCTAGCCAATTCATGATGCTAATCTGAATCTAACTGTCTTCAAGATTGACAGTTAACATTGGTTCTTGGCTAGCAGTGACCCCGGTTGTTCACATTAGTTACTCAGCTAGTTGATTAAACTGAGAAAGATATTCTTAAATAGGAAACCTTTTGAAAGTAATTAAAAATACACACCAGAACCAGTGAGAATACCTTGCTTGCAGTGGGCATAAAGTATGCGAGGACCATTTAGAAACGGCAGACGTTACCCAAGAAATATATTTTGACAGCAATGCTGTGAACACCAGGGAATATCTGCCATTCAAACCTGCAAGAGCGAGCTCTTATTTGAGCTTTTGGGGGAGAGTAGATGGGTAGTTACTAAGACGGGAAGATTGGCATTTCAATTTTTTCATTGGTAGATTTTATCTTGCGTTTTCTTCTACTTTAAGCACACTAAACAGCTTCATTCGTTAATACACTTGATGCAATTTCTTGTCAATACATATCAGAAGTTCACCATTTTAATACATAATTATGAACGGGCGACAACTCGAAAAAAGCCCATTTTTCCAAAAATGCTTCCCAAAAGTCGGCATCTGTCTAGAAGTCCAGATATGCCATTTCTGTAGGCTCCAGAGGTGTTTAGTCTGATTCTCTTGCTCCAACGCTCCATTTTTGCACTAAATTGCAAAGTTTACCAGTAAACTCACACAACACAGATTATTGCTAATCGCCCCAGTCTGAAGCTGTGTCTACCTTCGATTTAGTCGCATTCCAGTGGAAAGTCACTGATTGAGGTGACTTGGCAGTAGCAACTAAACGTGTGGCTATTTAGGTGTGGTTAAATGGTCGGTGGTTTCATCGACCTACTAGATAAATCTTTGTGTTTAATGGTTGTAGTGAAGGTACTGGTTCAACTTGGTCCCATGTATTGTAGTTTTGTTCGCCTCACGGAGACTTCAGGTTCCTGCGCACAGTGCGTCAAGGATTCGTGACAATTGTACAATTTCGGATTTTAATGGTTCACGCCTTTCGAACCAATGTATTAACGGGTGTCCGAAACTGATTTCGGAGTAGTTTGTTCTCTTCTGCCAAGGCCACCACACCTGCACCGGGGGATTCTCCATCGGATGGTCCAATTTGCTATGAGATCTCGTTGAGTAAAACCACACCATCAACCCGGAGTGTGTGTTGTCGCTTGATCCACCTAACGATAAGCCTGTTTGGCGTAGCTTCCAGTGACAGCCCAGCATAAAGCCCATTGGGAAAAACAAAACGCTACACCACCACGAGTGTCTCAGTGTGTTTCCCCATGCAAATAGCAACTTTTCATTCCTTTGCGGGCACACACTCGTTTTGCCTAAGTTAAAATATAACTCGGAGTTTTGGGGAAACTATTATCATGCATTTAAGGGCGAGGAATCTAGTCTGCTCTTTAATGGGGGTAAAGTTTTGCCATTGTAATGCGATAAAAAAGGAACCTACTCTTTCGAGCACTCAGTAGGTGGAGAAATTCTCCGCTTTGAGCATTGAAACTTGGACGCGTTTAAGTTAAATTGGAGCATTAGGGTTTTAAAAAGAATTGTTATGGCCTGACGTACCTCTGGGGTTTGTCCAGTATTAACGACACTGTAATCAACACAGCCTGGGCTAATGGATTCCAGTAAATCAATAATCAGAAGGCCAGTCCTCAAGTCATAATCGGAGAATCCCGCGGACAAAGAGATTCGACGTGTTTTGTCGGCTGACTCCAGACGGTCGTTGACCCAATCTATAATCCCCCGCTCGGAGATTATTGGTGTCCTTGAAATAGGGGAGTGGGCCCTACAGTAGCCCATTGAGTCCACTTGAGTGTCCTCCGCAAGTCTTGCGAGCAGCGAAAGCGTGTAGGCCCGCATCAACTGCCAAAGTAGGGCCAGAATTGGCGTCACCATTCGATCCTTTAGGTCGGAACCGGCCACTCCTACCAGGCTGAAGCCAGACCGATGACCCAGCTCAACCATGTAATTGCAGTTCTCTGAAGAACATGAAAGCACTCACATACTGTGAAGGAACTTGGTAGACATGTTCTAGAATCTACCCAAAATAGAATGATTAAAAAATACTTGAATTGCAAACCTAATTTGTGGATTTTTTGGTGGGGAAAAACAGCTTCAACTTTCCAGGTAACATATTGAATTCTACCGGGTCTGAAATTTAAATCATGTTAAATCAGCCCTTGATCACTTGAGTGCTATTCGGGGTCTCTAGTGAGTTTCAGCTGCTTTTAGATCAAAAATGCATTATCCACTTTTGATTAACCTCTCTACGTATTCTGTGAAGATGAACTACGACTAATTTTATGGTTCTGGGTCAGCAGTTGGTCACTGCTGATTGCTTCACACCATTCTAGATGTCAGTGATTTTGAACAAAATTTGTTCTGGACTATGCATCTGAAGCTGGATTTCATAAAACTGAGATTTGTCGCACATCGTGGCTACCTTTAGTCTAAAGCTAAAGGCGAGTAAACCAACCCGCAATTACAGCGGCATAATTCTCCTCAGGTGTGGAAATCACTTAATTATCAACGATGAGATGTTGTTAGACGAATATCGTACATGTTAAGTAACACTTCTCACGACCATCACACCTCCAATCCCCATCTACCGATTTCGTGGGATCAAACTAATGACTGCTTTTATCTTTCGGTATATCATGTGTAGACGCGACCGGAGGGCCATTTAAGACACAGGCTTTATTTGTTTTGGCCTACGGTCGCATGGCCGGGAGAGCGCGCGAACGCCCACAACCCACCCCCCCTCCGCGTCTCCTCCACGCTCCCCCTCCAAGTATCAGCATCATCACCGACTGCAGCCCGGCCGGGACGCGAGCGGTCTTTGATGTCGCTGCTGCCATGACTGATCTGATCGCTTTGGACCAATCAGACACAGACCATGACTGAACGCACCAAAGTCAACATTTAAGCTACGTTGGAACAGGAGAGGTGAACCAATTAATTTCAATTTGCTTGATTCGTATTTTCGTGATGGCGCGCGACATGGCGGGGAAAATCGCAGGTCTGCATTTGGTTGTCCTGCCACCGCTATTTTTTTAACGTGCTACTTAATTTAGGATTAGTTGACAAACTGAATCCAAGGGCAAATGGATTGTAAATCAGCATTCTGTGGTTTGATCTTTGAAATCGGTTAGTTAGTGTTTATCAAGATAATATTTTATATTATATTTAATTAGCTGCTTAAATCCCCAGAACGGGAGCATTTAAACCACAAGCATCTCCAGACGATGACCTGTTTTTAAAATCTTGAAACCACTTGGGCCGTTTTTTAAGATTAAAAATGTTAATCGTTAGGTACAGAGCAAAAATTTGTGATATACTTTACTTAATAGTATGAAGTGCAATTGTTTTATAACATTATGAAAACAAGTACACTTAGAAATCAATTTTGCGATGAGTTTTACTTGCTCCGTGAATTCTAGGCAGTCTGAATTTACGTGAATGCATTCCGCTTGAATCCAGCACCCATGGAAGTTACTAACCCGAGTAAAACATGGCGTTCACACATGATAATAATGATGCAAATATTTTTTTTCATATAAGACCAATTAAAGCACTGGTTTAGTCATTCCCACTTCTCAGCAAATTTATGCAACCGAATACAACTTGAGCTGCTGCAAAAAATCGACCATTAAGCCTGATTATAGCTGAGAGGCTGCGGGCTATTTTCAGCTTGGTCATGTTTTCAACCTTGTCTTAAGCCAAATCAACTGGCACCGCCACCGGTATTTTGATGATGTTTTGCTCACTTAATTAGGGGTTTCGCGAATGCTCAAAATGTTCGCGCGTGACCAATTCAACATCTCCGGAATTTTGTTTTTAGCCTGAGGTAAAATGTCGAAAATTGGGCTTATTTTGAACTCACCAAGTTGTTGAAAATTGGCCTTCGCTGGAGCCGTTGAAAAAAGTTGATTAACACGCATCCAATCGACGGTGCCTGCTTTGATCAAATCGTAGAGCTTGAAAATCACAGTCCCAGTGAAAAGATTGCCATAGAGACTGTGAACCACCGTTCGTAATCCCATTGAGTTAATCCAATTTCTGTAGGCTTTAATGAAAAGGAGCCAAATAATTTTGGGTCCTGCTGGGGACAAGTGTCAGAAAGAAGTGTGTTTTGGGGTTCCCCGTTGCTAGTACAGCTAAAGACAAACTACAGGAATGGTCGTGGACAAAAGCTCTTCGAGGAAAGCATCCAATTGCTTGAAAAACAGGGCTCTGTTCCCGTCACCTCGTAAGTCCACTTTGGATTGACTGCGTCTATTTCCGCATAACTGGCAGGCCCTTTTTCGTGTTTACAGGACTGAAAAAGGTGATTTAAGAATCTTCCTACAAGGTAGTTTAGCATACAAATCTCGCTTTTGGGTAAACCGAAAAGGTCATTGTGCAGGCGACGGGACGGTCATCGCAGGTCAGGCTTTTTCGTCCCAGGACATTAGAAACTCTACTAATTGGCATCCCCTTTTGGGCATCTTCATCTTGAGAAAATAAATTCAAGACAATGGCTCCTGCCGACCAACTGGTGCCTTTGGCAAATGCCAGTGGATAGTTCATAATTAGTCAATAAATATACTCACATCGATTACGTGTTGAAAAACCAAATGAGCCTTCGTAGTCATTTTCGACCATGTTCGGTTCCGTCCTCCACACTAACTTGGGATTTAACCTCGTGCTAGTCACCTACAAGCCAACATCCAACCACAGACTTCCATTTTGCCTCATTAGGACGTTAAAGACAAGTAACGTTGGCTGTGGCTAGAAACCAGACGAAAGCCCAAGCCAGATGTGACAGTGAGGCGAATGACTAAGCTAGCTCCAGGCGCTGACTTGCAGGCACCACGTTCTCCGCATGGAAGCGTCACTCGTATCCCCTGGTGTGCGCAGTAGGGCAGCCCACAGCTTGTCACGTGCCACCAAGTCAATCACCCTTTTTATACAATTTAGTTGGTTAATTGGGTCAACGAATAACTGTGCCTAGAATTTTGTTTATGGTTGGTTATTGCTGGATCGAATGTTTAAACTACCTTTGACATATTTTTAGATGGAATCATAATGGAATCTGGGTCCCCGCTTGGTTTTGGATTCGGAAAGTGTTCGTAATTCCGTTTAGTTACAGGCCGTGGGACCGGAAAACATCCACATCAGTTATTTTGTCTTCGGGCAGCCGTAATGAGACCACAGCAGGGTCCTGGTGCACAATTTAGCCTCACTTTAACCAAAGCCGTTTCATGCGGTGAAACTGATTGAAAGACTGTTACTAAATTAAGGCTCAAAGGCCTCATTTTGTATGAGTTTTGTCCTAAGAGAGCCAACATTATTTTGAGCCTTTGAAATTCTGTGGCTTCATCATATAAACCGCAATTGTAGCCCCCTTTAAGCACCGAAACAATCTAATAATGCTCGTAGGTGTGGTAGTTGTGTTGTCGAATTGGTCTACTAAAAGAGAATGCTCACAGTGCTCTTGTGAGCATTATCGTCAATACCTATTTCAAAATGAGTAATCAATTGTCTCTGTTTCCTCAAAAATTTCACTAAAACACTGAGTCACCTGACTGAAGCACTGCTACACCGTCACAAGGCTTCTGCCGTTTGACAGCCAACCATTTTTGCGTAAAAAGTATTGTGTAAGTCCCGTGGGACCTGCGTCCTGTCAATTTATCCAATCACAGGTGAAATATGTACTGGCATCCTTTGTAAAAAATATGTGTATATATCTTTCAACATTCCTCACAATTAGGGGAACAAAAAGACGAAGGATCGTATTTGCACATAACCCAAGCGGGAGTGTGTTAACCCTTTTAATAGTTGTTAGTTTCGTGCAGTGAGAGGTGCTGCTGAGCATAAAACCAGCACCGGAGACAATGTTTTAATGGCTCTGCCTTTTTATTTATGAATCTCATCATTAAAATTCGATCATGGAAAATTTCTGTGTCTAGATCTAAGTATTCTGGGTGACTCTATGCAAATCGGGGTAAATTTTCGTAAAATGAATCAATGGATACTTCCCTTCGTGCTACACGTTAAGTGAAATTCCTCTTCAGTTTCTTGGCTTAATGATTTTTGAGAGATTAGTACTAGATTAAGCATTAGTCCCTCCACTTCACGATAATAATGAGGTATCATTTGCCAGTACCGTCACTTCAAATGTCATGCGGTCCATTCAGTGAACGTAGCCCTGAATAGTCATAACGATTTTTCACAAAAATTTTACTTTATAAACACGCCTAAAAATTTTCAAGTTGAAGGTGAATTATTCCTGTCATCAAAAAGTGACTGAACCCTTGTGTTTGTGAATATATAAACGAAGCTGCGCTGAAACAGTTAAAAAACGTGGAGGCATAAAAAGCAAATTTTGCCCTTTAAATCGTGTCGTGGAATTCAACGCAGTTGAACGAGTCGTTTTTTTTTACCTCCCGGCAAAAGGTTTTGCTTCATCTATTCACTTTCCGGTTTTTTAAATTGGTCGTGAATGCTTACAAAAAAAGGCGCGTTTTCGGCAACTAATGCATTCAATACTTTTGGGGTCGAAGTAGTTGATTATATCAAGCAGTTAAAATGTCGCTCAACACGCTCACGCTGGCTTTACGGTCTGCAAGAAAGTAAAGCCCATAGTTGACACAACAGCTGGAGTAATTCGATATTCCTTGCAAAATGTGTCCTTATTCACCACCCCTAGTTTTAACCACGAAACTACTCTTGTTGTCCAGGGTTAGTTTGACCACAGTTTGGAACAGATTTCAAACAACGCCAGAGGTTTCTGGTTGTTCAAGGTGGCAGACAGAATGAATGCAACCGATACGTCTTTCCACACAATTGCCGGGAGCACGTCAGGTCATTTGATTCTCCAAGAATGTACAACGATAAACAGTCCACCAAACGAGGACCAAGTGCACCGATGGCATCACCATCGATTCACAATAAGTTTGATGCATTTTCGTAATTAAAACTATGTTGAATTATTTATACTCTTCCACATCTTGGAAGATCATTCCCGCTAGTGTTTGCACGCTAAATATTAGGGCTTTATTATCTGCTCGGCGTAGCTGCAGTTGGCCCATAAATGCTCGCGACTGTGTGGGTTTGCGATCGCGATAACACACGCATCCCACGAGAGTCCACGCTACACACGCTACCGAAGGGATCAAGACTTGAGGCTGTGTAAATACAAGCATATCTCTGCTTTGTGCGCTGGACCGTTAAGCCGTTGGTGGTGTGAGATCACCCAGGGGTAGAGCTTGTTCGGGACCTTGTGCGAAACAATACGGCCTAAACGCTCCACAAGTGGGCCTTAGTGACTGCAGCAAATAGCACATTCCATTCATCTCTGAGAAACACGTTTAAACAATGAAGAAATGTAGAATTGTAATTGCTACTCGTGAGCTAATATTACAAAGTGTTACGGTAACATTTTTATGTCACCGTGAAGAGAAAACGGTGGAGTTGCCCAAGCCGAATCAGTTCCACTTAAGACTGATTCATTAGTAACTATAAGAAGTAACGCAGTCGTATTAATGTAAGACGAGGCTTAATCTGTACTGAGGTACTACACTCGTGATAAAATTAGTTTTTTTTCTTCAACTCCTTAAATTATTACAAAAAAAATCCCTCCTACAGAAGCTATATCTGTGCGAAGAATTGATTTATTGATAAAATGTCGTTCGTTCCTACTAAGTTGCTCGTCTAAACTCAAAATTCGGCCTTATTGCATTGGTGTCCCTGAGTTATCATTTAGTTGCGTTTTGTGTTTGCAGGTGAATTTGTAATTTGGCATAAAACAATTGCCCGCGTTCAGAGACCCCTATGACAAACCGCTTAAAAATGGACCACCTTTTGAGCGGGTGACTTAAAATACATGCACCAGTTAAGTGCTCAAGTCTACCAGACCAGGAGTACATCTCACAATTGGGCTCACTTAGGATGACTCATCCCCCCAAACGGTTGTTTACACGTCCAAGTAATCCTGTTGTTTTAAACTCATTTATGTCGTGATTCTAACCAGAAATGTCTTTCCGATCTGCAAGAAATCATGAAAAAAGTACAACACAGTGCAAGCAACTGAAAACTGTTGACGATGCCTGTTGTATAAGTAGTCCCGATTCTTAGATCATTGAGGCACATTTGTGCACCTCGATTTCTGTTACCTGTTTTTCTTTAATTCAATCAGAGGCACGAATGTGGTTCACATAAAATGTTCCGATGGAATTTAGGTTGCTTTACCACAATGTCGTTGTGAGTATAAAAGTTCTAAAATTACTTTTGGAATTGGATTTCAGTCTGGTCAAAATAGCGTGGTGTATTTGCTGAGTGTCAGACCAATTTTATGCCTCGAGAAGTCTTAATTTACGTGCTTCAGGGAAGTTGTCATCTTCTTCTAGTGGTTGTCTAACATTTGCAGAACTACCAAAAGTCTGATAAAATAGGAATACTTTATTTGTTAATATCACATTTCACGAGAATCAGTCTAGCTGGGGAGGTGGGGCCTACGTGGGAGTCACTCGGCAAGGTACTTGCCGGTGATGTGCTTGTTCCTGCCATCTAAGAGGTCATAGCTACCACGAAACCAGGCACGCGGCACGTGAGCCCCCTTTGGGAAGAAGCCGTTGAGCCAGGCCACAAAGCGCTCCCATCGACTCGGCTGGGGCGGGTCTTCGCCTACGAAACCAGACAAAACGCACCGCATTACTTTGAGCCTTTTAGCCCCCCAGCCCCGCTTCCCCCCATCAGCTTCCGTCTGTGGCGCCAGCGTTACCCCCACCATGATCCATGCATTCCGAAAGCGGTAATGTCACCCAAATGAGGTCAATGCGTGTACTCCGCCATAATCGATCAATCAATCAAACGGTCTGCCCCCTAAGTGCCCTCCATTTCCGCATATCCCGTTCTCAACTACCTCGCAGGTACAAGTTGATGCTGTGTGCCGCGTTTAAGTTAAGCCTTCGGAGGCAAAAAAACTGTGTATGAATTGTACCTATGTCTGATGCTTTCGTCTCTGAAGATCTTGGAACAATGGACTCACGTCCAATTAAAGTTGGCCATTCGAAAGTTTGGAGCAGTGACTTACAAATAATCAAAGGGCCGAGGGGAATAGCCAAAAACAGACTAGATAGCACGAATGCCTTCTACGCTTGGGTTTGAATGGGCCGAAGGATGTGTCAGAAGTGGCAAAATTTTGATTTGTTTAAAGACTACGTCTCGTGGTAATCAAACACTTACTAACGGAAAGGCATTTGGTATCCGTTATAAACCATCCCACTTCTAGGCATAGCGTTTAACTGCAGCCACGAAGACATCTGACTTGTAATTTCCCAATGAAACCCTTAAAACAGCCAGGATGTCTTAAAACGGAGGACGTGAACAGGCCAAACTGGCTTGATTTTGACCCCAAAAAAGATCGTAACGTTCTTCGATTCAAGAAAACAATAAATGCTGTCAATCTATTATCACAACCGTTAAGCACTGGGACCCTGTCTAATGTACGTCATTCCAGGCACAATGCCCGATTGCCTTTCCACGGCTCCGTCGGTTATTTTCACGCACTCGCACACCCCATACCATTCCCGAAAAAAACACCCCGTGTCCAGTCAGACGCGTCTAAACAGTATTGATGGGTGACGGGGCCACCGTTTGTATTACTCAGAGAAGCGTTGTGGTATGTTCCCTCGTTTCACCATTATGTGTACTTGCTGTATTCGCAAGTAAACTCGCTTGCCACTGTAGCCATTGGTAGTATATTGATCTGAATTTAAACCATAAATTGGAGGTCCTGCGTTCTCGTTAAACCCCTTCAGGTGAAAAATCGCTTTTTTTTTCAAGTTTTAACTTACAAGAATGAGGTGAATTTTGTGGCAGTCTTGCAAAACAGTATTTGAGTGTTTTTTTATGCTCAAATATATTGTTTACTGAGAAATATTATTTTACCGCTGTTTGAAAAAAAGTGAAGTTTGGGTTTTGGGTGTTGCAGATAGTAATTGACTCAAAAATGGGATTTTGGGCCAGCAAGCTCCCACTTGTAGAGAAATCTGAAGTGTGATTTTTAAAACAAAAAATGAATAAATTACTGCGTCTGCCACTCCTACTGGGGGCTCGTTTAATGGAGGCAATTAAACCAGCGCCAAACCAGCTCTGATTCTTGGCTTCACCCTTAAATACGTAGTTACCTGGTTGGCACTTGGGTGGTTTTATAGACGTGATAAGATCTGGCATTAGATTTCCATGGTGATCTCGGAGCGAACGAGCCTGACCGAAGTGGCTGGAAAAAGTGGGAATCAGAAACTCACTTTTCTCCTCCCTCGTCTCCTCGACAACAGGCGGGGGTGGTCGCGGTGGGGGAACGTCGAGGGCCGGATTGGTGTTGAAGAGGTTCGCCAAGAAGGCGAGGTTCAATTTCATGGAACCGTTGATGATGTCTTTGGGCTGGACGAACACTCGGCAGTTCAGCTTCTCGGCATTCTGCAGCACCATCTCGGCACGCTGAACCAAATCAACCGCGTCCAGAATGGCCTGCGAAAATATGAAGGCAAATCACAGGTGTGCCTTCAGGCCTTACAACGTTTGGTGTTCCTCGTTGAATGGTCAACCCATTAAAAAAGGACGTTGCAATTGTGTGTTATTGAGCAGCGAAATTGGGTGGACGTAATACAGGGCACAGGGATTTGGCGAAGGGATGTGCGTTTCATGTGTAATAGGCTTTTATAACATCTTTTTGCTGTCTTACAGAAGTGCCACTAACCTGACTACTTAAATGAACCACGAAGGCTCAAAGCTTGTCTTCAATTCAAATCGATCTGTAAACCTTTTAAGTACTTTAAATCCTACCTAAAGCAGTTCGTCGGAGTAATTATTTGCTGTTTAGACCACGTAAACTAGGAATGCCTTCTTCTGCACGTGTTTCAAGCATTCTCAATACCATTTTAAAATGTGTTGCTGGACGCAAGCACATGATAATGTTGCTCTGTATTTTGCAAAAAAATAGGCTGCTCATAAAATGTGATTAAAATAATTAACGATATTTAACTCAGCGTATCTGAGATCTCACTCTATTGGTGTGCAGTAATGAGGGTTCCTCAATGAGGGACCCCTGAGGTAAGCACCTGCCTAGCCAATCATGGAAGCAAATGCATCAGTGAGTGACCTTGACAGTTGCCATGACACTGGCACAAGGCGTTGCGTGTGTTTTAGTGGACTCTGTCCTTTTCACTAAGCGTTTCTAGGATGCGAGTCAACAGCGTCTGAATAAACTTGGCTGATTTTCACCTTTAACCCGCATTGTCACAATTTAACCCTTTTTTTGCCTGAAATTGACGTTTCGTAAATGGAAGCTACAACCTTACCTTTGAAGAGTGCAGGAAGGGTTTCTTTTCTGGAGGGCTTATTTGTTCCAATAAGTAAGCGTATACTTCGCAGTCCTGAACACACAAAAAACACGCAAAAAATTAAAACTCTTGTTTGAAAACTTATCCCGGTCAAGAAAAAACCTTCATTGGATCATGTTTTAAAGAACCCTCTGGCAGTTAAATTTTCTACCTAGAAGAGCTGTCGAGGTTTATCTAATCCTTGATCTAAAACCTCACTGTACCGGGTCTATGCGCTTGTAAACCGTAGAGGCTAAATGTTAATGCCATGAGTTTGTGAAAAATAAAAATGTACTACTACATATTTGGTAGTACACAAAAATGTAGCCCGTGGAATACACCTTTCGGCACCATCGACAATTTTCGGGGGAAAAATCCAGTGGGAATTTGTGGGATTTAAATAAGGATCTATGGATTATTTAAACTCTTTATTTTCATTATTACTGACCTATACGTCAAATCTTTGGCCACATTGATAATGGGAGTTAAAAGTTCATTGGAAGGCAGATTTCCCTCCATCACCCTGAGTTTCTTGATGCGCACTAGCGCATGAAATTGCATCAAAATTCGAAAGAGATCCAAGAATCTGTGCTTGTAGGTTTCCTGGATTTCAATATCTATCATATTTACGAGGTTTTGTGTGCTGTGTTAGTTTCTTCGCTCTCCAAATAATGTCTCCTTGCTTTGTTGAACACTCTGCCCACATTAAGCAAAATTCTTCTTGGTACTGTAAACTCTTTTAAACTACTTGGTACTTAGGTCAATTTAGCAGTGGTGTATTTTGCCGATTATGGCTCTCCCTTAATGGATTTACAACCACAAGCAAATAAACAGTTCTTTTTTGCACACGTATAGAAGCTGTGTTTAATTTACCCAATAGTAAATTGCCTGACAGAGGGTAAGTCTGTGTACTGCAATGATTAATTGAATAATCAATGCAAAATAGGATATCTTCAAACACATGGACTGTAGGTTTCGCTTAGACCCTTTTCCTAATCGACAAGTTAGAGCGATTTGGTCATTCCGATGACTTTATTTCCTATTCGTTTGCGATAGTCATAAAATTACACACCTAATTGTTCCGAGGAACTCTATTCACTTTTAAAGTCTCAGGCACGTAAATTGTCTGCGTCGTGTGTTGAGGTTCGGATAAGGACTCGTGAGGCATCACTAATCTCGCAAAGAAGCAGCCTCTGAACCGATATTATACGAAGCCTGACAGTTTGGTGAACAGTCGGATTTGTGAGTTAGTAAAAGGCAACTTAGGAAAGCCGCCCTGAGCAATGTGTTTTACTGTGCTTAATGTAATGGGTGTTATGTAGTCTACCGTCTAAAATTTCGAATCTTATGTGAAGGTCTTTTGGCTGCACAAGGACTATCACATGCACACGCATGCATAAGCATATAATCAAAACGACATGTACGATTATGCTAATGGCGTATGCACGATGCACACTACGCATCCTCGAGGGTAACGCAAAGAAAGCAATAGTTTCCTGTAGTTTGGACACGACGTAGAAGCACATAATATTGCTAAACATGCAAATGACTGAGCATGTACCGGTAAGTAAGAAAACACGTCCCGTGCTCACTAGACCCAAAGTCTGTCGAAATGGTCTGACACCTTGGGTGTTGGATCGAAGTGTGCTAACTTCAATTATTTCCCGAAATAATTGTTCGAGGTTGAAAGCAACGAGGGTGATCGTTTGAACCTTAGGGCCCTAGAAGGATTGATGAATTTCTAATAGGCTTCAAAAAAATCAGTAGAATTAATGCGGAAATCGCCATCTCGATTAGTTTTGACAGAAATGAGTTACACGTGAAAATCTAAAATTGCGTGACCTGGAGTTAAACTTTGCGTCATTTACATGGCATATCAATGTTGAAAGAAAACTAGCAACATTTGTCTCAAATGAGCACTTTTATTGTAATTTCTCCTTTGTTTTGGCAGTAGCCATGTTGAACATGCCCACCGGATTCATTATGCATTACCCAATATGCATGGTTAGACAAGCCAAAGTGTTTCATTCATAATTAAAATTGCACTTAAACCTGGAAGTCTAATAGTTGAGATGAATTTGGTATGAAAAATGAAGATTCTATGGAAGTTTTAGGAACAATTTTTGGAAATTCGTCATCTGAGTGCTCGTTAAAGTGACATTCGTTTACGATTAAATTATGCTAAAGTATTTTTTATCAACTATTAAGAATATATTCTCTTTAACGTTTAAATACTTGATTTTTGGACAATTGTAGTTTGATTTAGTGGATCATAGTTACTGCGAGCAGAAATGTAATGAGTTAGTTGCATTACATAACAGATTTGTCCAAAATTCTTTGAGCTACTCACTCATTAAATTGTTCTATTCTACAAGGAGAAATTTATTTATATAAAAGAAATTTAATGTTGCAGTAAGTATTACTTTGTCTTTTTATGCCAAACCACTATTGTTACGAATGGATCATAAACTTTACAATATGACCTGACCTTGATATCCATAGTAAAGTTCTCCATTCTTGTGTCACAATCAGCGCGTTTGAGGTGATAGTTGACCCATCTCATTAAAATCTGTTCTGGAGCAAGCTTGGCAAATTCTGTTATTGTTTCATCTTCGTCCAGAAGGGCTACTAACTCGCTATGCGCAACGACGTTGATTTGACGCAGCAAACCAATCTAGTGTTTGAAAAAAGAAACAGTTTTCAAAAGCTTGAAAGTGAATAAACGAGCAGACTGTTTATCAAATAGCAATTCTAAAGCCTTTAAAAATCATAACGTAAATTCTTACTTTACTTAGAATCGTTTAAATATTTTTCAACTATCTGTAAAGGATGCTTTACAATCAATTATATTCGGTGTTTTCAAAAACGAACGTTAAAAAATTAACACATCAAGAATAATTCCTTTGTTTCCTAGCAATAAAAGTGAGCCCAAAATACATACTAAAACATTGCGATGAAATCCAAACATCTTCAGTGACAAAGAAAGAATTTGCAGTTTGATTTTAGTCTAACATAATAATTAACGCAAAACTCGAGCCAAAAGTATCTTGACTTACCTTTATAATTTGCCACAGCAAGCCTAACAGCAAGTGGCGAGTTCCATCAACGATGTCCGCCGCTCCTATGTTGACAACGTTACACCCAATGGCGCGTGCACTATTCAGTGCCAATGTGATATTCTCCATTATTTGGTATGTTGTCAATCTTTTTCCTCGATGTAAGGCACGCAGATCGATCGTTTGAGGTGAAGAACAATTTATAATTTTGCTAAGGTATGCAAAAAGGGGTTTAAGGATTCCACAATACAAGCATTTATAAATCGCTACCCATTGTATTTAAATTCCTATTACATATACTTATTATTTTTAGCTTTTTAAATTGCTATTTAAATTCACTTAGTTATTTAAACAAACCCTGAAACACCACTTATAGCTACATTAACTAAAAATATGCATAGAGGGATAACCAAACATATGTTCAACTCAATGAAGCAAGATTATGTTCTATTGCTGTTTAATTGTAAGGCATTTACAAAAAACGCATACCACAATAAAAATCCGTCGCTACATTTATCGTAAAGATCGTCCCCATTTTCTTTAAAAGGGAAATATTCCTTACAGGTTTCGTCTTCACTCAAGTTTCTAGAAGAATCAACAGTTAAATAAAGTAGCATGCCTCTCCAGCCAACCACAGAAAGCAATTTGCTCATCCTCACTGACGCTATGAAGAGTGTCGTCACCTTGTGGAGAAACGGGAGAGCCATATTGATAGATAGTTGTACGTGTAGTTTGCGGATCAACAGACCCAGAAGCCTCCTGTTTACAAAATTCTTGATATAGCTAACAAATGAAATCATTTTGTAACGTTACCCTTTTAAACTCCGGAAAGTTAATTCGCTTTTGTGAGAAGTCGATTTCACAATTTTCTAGCGCTTGCCGAAGATCCCCATGTGTCTTATTAAAACCCAGTGATTTCAAAGATGCTAATATTGCAGTTTCGTGAAGAAAGCCACACTGCTTCCGGTCAAACTATTTATAAAAAAATAATAAACAAACAAACCAAATTAAAAACGGTTAAAAGGTCAGAAAACTTTGCGGGCTGCCGCTCTTCACGAGATCCCATAAGTAGAATTTAAATAATCGCGAAAAGAAAAAGGTAAGCCGTAGACGACCTAAAGGACGTAACATATAGATGTCAAGACATTTAAACAAATTTTGGTTGAATATTTCGGAAATGTTGTTCAGTGTTAAAAAAGGGATTCTTAGGTAAACATGAACAGGTATCTTCAATTATGACATCAAAGCGTAAATTACAAAGCATCCAGACTGTGACAGAGTTACAAATGATCACAAAGTAAAGGGCCTTATGAATTTACAAAAAAAGGTTAGAGGTAGATCTTAAAATACGAAGCCGTGGGTGAGTGGAATGTAAACACAAGTCCATTTTTAGCCACGTCCAGTTAAAAATTATAACACCTTCACTGGGGAATGGAACAAATACTACTTTTAAAGGCTTTAAATGTTGCCGATTTGTGCAGGTTTTTGTTTACAGAGGTTGCATTCATGATTTATCAGACCCAAGGGTAGGGGAATGCTAGTTTGGCTAAGTAAATACGTTTTTTTTAACCTAATCCCGCCCAGGAAGCGCCTTCAATGCCCACTTTCCTTGTACCTTGATTAATGATGTTACTTTTAGCACCTAAATAAGGTTGATAATACACCTCGTTTTTCATTTTAAGTTATGAGGATTTATAATAAAAGTTGTCAATGGGACATGTTTCTGTTATAAAAAACTGCATGGTTTAGGAATAAATCAGGATGAATTAAATGCATTGTAGTATTTTATAGAACTAAAAAGAAAAATTTCTGAGCACAGATATTTTTTGTAATGCGTTACAAGTAGGGTATTTAACTAAGTACATATAAGTGGTCTAGAATGACTCAAATAAAAAATATACCTGCTAATCCTAATTGTTGCAAAACCCTTACTTTTGTCATACACCTCACATCAATAAATTAGATTAATTCTTGTTCAAAGTTATTCATTTTAGGACGTTTTGTACAAATGTTCTTTCTGTCCAATAAGAGCTAGACTTATCTTAGGTACACACTTAACTCAGAATTATGGGCTACCCATCCCTTGTTGTCGATTTAGGTGGAGGATCAATTAAGTTCGGTCTTTCTTCAGATAAATTTCCAAGGTAATCAGTGCTGTCAATTTACTTTTTTAGTTGTGTGGATAACTGCATATACAGGTCAAAAAATGCCTCAGGGAGAAATTTTATTGGAGATGAAATTAGGGATTGCAAGAACCTTTCTAGTTTATTTGGGTCTTATCCTTTCAAAAAGGTTAACATACTGTGGTTTTTTTAACTTGTATAGGGCTATATTAATAACTGGGATGTACAAAAGAAAATTCTTGATAATGTTTTTTTTCGCTTTGTCAGTTCGGTATGCAATGAGACGTTTTAATTGCTATTATCAGAAATCTACAGATATTTCCTCATTAAATCTTGTTGTCACGGAGCCATACTTCAATTTTACATCTACCAAGGAAACTATGAGTGAAATATTTTTCGAGGACTACCAGGTGGCAGGACTTATACGGGCTAACCGTGGGTATTTTTATTTTCATTTTAATAATTAGCTGCCTTTTTGGCTGCTTATAAGTATCAGTCTGAAGCTGCACAACGGATTTCGCGATATTCCTTGATCATTGACAGCGGCTACTCGTTCACACACATCGTCCCCATGGCGGACAATAACATCATGAAGGATTTCGTTTTAAGGTACAGGTAGTTGGTCAACGTCATCTCTATTAGGCTCGCCATTGGCGGAAAAATATTGACGAATCGATTAATTGAAATCACCTCGTATCGGCAACTAGATGTAAGGAGCGAAGTTTATATCATGAACCAATGCAAAGAAGATGCCTGCTTTGTGTCAACAGATTTTTGGACGGATCTATCTGACGCCAAGTATGCTTACGCTTATTTTACTATTTTTTTTACTTTTATATCACTGTTTAATCCGTGTAGTACAGCATATTTGATGATATATTCCATGGTCATCACTACCGTGTATCGTCACTCAGCAATTATGATGCATTTATTAATTCGATTTCAAGTAACCCACGTCCCCGTATTCCTAATCCTGTCTTACCGATTATGACGTAGTCGAGGCTACAATAATATCTGTCCAGCTCTTTCCCGACATAGCGTACTTGCCTGTGGCTCAAAAATCTGTTTGGTACACGATTCGATTCGTCTGTTGAAAATATCTGTAGGCCTGAGCAAACGAGTTTTCGCAGACTGAGCTTGTCAGTAAACTGTTTATTTGAGACCTTTTACGAAAAAGTGCCTTTTGCATATTTAAACTCGCTCTTTCCGTTTCTGCAGTCTTTTGTGAGGAAAATTGTTCGGTGTGACACCCAGTCAGAATGATTGCCGTTTACGTAAGCGGGATCGGTAGCTTGCAATCTAGCCCATCGGATTCACATAAGTTACCTTACAAAAATTCGGGACTTAAACTTTACACTGGCATGCTGGTGAGCCCATCAGTTGTGTTTGCTTCCGCTCCATAATTTTAGTCCCAAGTAGATTCAAAGTCCTGGAAAAGCATAAACAGGGATCAAGCATCGGTAGTTGCGGACACCCCTGTTGCCGATTTCTTCTCCATCGTGACGATTTTTGATTGGCCAAGATGTCTAGATTCCAATAACCCAAAATTCTTGAACCAAAATGCATTACCTTTAAAGCCACCTCACATCTGGCCTTCGTTGGGAGTCAAACAAACAATTGCGTTGTCTCGCTTGCCAGTTAATTCGAGTATTACGCTCCATGTTAGGTACTTGGAAGATTTGTGGGTAAGTGGCGCTAGATGCGCACTGTCTGGTTACTTGTGGCTATCACAAAGTTCACTTTATATTGTCTTTCGGCTATTTCGGGTAGCATATCTCTTCGCACTCGACACAACACCGGTAGAGTGTATTGGTATCGGCAAGTAGCCTTTAGTCCGTTTGTCCCGTTTCAGATCACGCGACCCCGCAGTGAATAAAATCGCTCGCGAGTACGTCCTGCCCGACTACATTGACGTGCATCGGGGCTACCTGCGCAGTCCCACAGAGAGACCCAAAGACCCCGGTGACCGAGCACGTCTCCAGGGCTACACGCTGAAGCTGAGCAATGAGCGATTCACGGTGCCCGAGCTCCTCTTCCACCCCACGGACGTTGGCTACACCGAAATGGGCATCTCTGAGGCCTCGCAGTACCTCCTCACAGAGAGGCTGCCTCCCGCTGTTAGACCCGGGGCTATGGCCAACATTCTGCTCATTGGAGGCAGCGCCAAGTTTCCTGGATTCAGTGACCGAGTGTAGGGGGTTTCCTGTTCTCTTGCATTTCCGCTTTGATTTCCTTTTAGTTTAAAATGCCCTAGTTACTACAACCAAGGGATGGTCAGGCAGCATAAAAGGCAATCTTGTAGGAAATTGAAGTCTCATGCGTGTTGGTAGAATGATCTTCGCTAGCAATTCCTTCACCTTCCTCACACAGCATCGTCGATAGCAGTGGCACCTGACGTCAAATTAACGAGGGGCAGAAAGATCTTATCTTCTAGGTTGGAAATGGTTGAATGAATTTCGCGGATAGGCTGGTTCATGTGTTTCCCCTTGCAACCCGTGTTCGCAAAACACTTTGGTAGAGTGGCATATTCTGTATTCCCATGGAGATAGTCCTTCCTGGCTTATCTTCTGACGCGTTGCATGTTTGTTAGCGAAGTGCAGAGTTCTACCTGGGGCCGATTGACCAGCATTTTCACTAAGAAGTGAAGTGTATAAATTTTTTTCATCGACGAATGCAAATTCAGAAGAATCCACGTCAACTTTGTCGACGCTATGGACGTTTATTTTTTTATTTTTATGGCTTACGGTTTTTTTGCACGATGCTCAAGTTTTGTCACATCTTCCGGATGTCTTGACACCCAGTCTATCATCTTCTCCTGTAGTCTAATCGTGTTTAAGGGTTTTTTTTTTCTAATTTTATTGCACTTTCTGGTGATATGACAAATTGTTTAAACTAGTTCAAAGTAAATGTTTTTAAGGTAGCCGAAACTTTTTATTTGCTTTTTTATTAATCAATCGTTGCATGTCTCTTGTTCCTCTTAGAACCCTTTAGACCCCAACGTGTGACCCCCCGAAAGTCCCCCATTATTTCCATCTGATGATCAATCATTAGAACAGGAACTGACGTCGGCAGGAATTAGTTGACCCGTTTGTTCAAATAGTACTACTCGATTATTTATAGTAGTGGTTATATTTATTTGTGTATGGTTGGTAGCACACCGATCCATCGAAAAAGCGGTCGGCCTTTTGTAATGTCCCTTAATGTATTACTCCCTCATTACCACTGGCCTTTTCTTTGCAGGCTGAGTGACCTTCGCAGTTGGGTTCCGCACGATTTGCCTGTCAATGTCCATACTCCTCTCGAGTGAGTTTTCGTGTCTTAAGTTACGCTCGGCACTCATTCCGCGTGTCTGGCATTGCGCAGATCACTTGTAAAACAATTGAGAGTTTGCAGGTGTTTCTTTGCCTTTAAAAAGAGTGGGAATGTTTTTTTCTAACCTCCGACCCGTAACGTGCCTCATTGGTCAAAATAGAGACAAAATTGGCCATGCAAATCACATTTTATCTCATCGAGCACTACCGCCATCAATCTCTATTTTAAATGGAAGCGTGTGTTGAACTTTTTGCTGCAGTAGTGTATGGGAAATGCCAAATTACCACCTCGTTAGTTGTCTCACGCTTTTAACTTTATCTACTTCAAAACTTTACCGCTTCACCGAAACCCATGGCTTCTGAATTTGCGATTTAAGTGCCGGACACACGGTTATTATGGCGGCCTTTTGCCGCGGCCGTAATGCCAAGAGCTTCATGTGACTGATCTTTAACGCAGACCTCGTCGTCCGGTCTTTTCCAGGCCGTCGGGGGTGAAAATGCGTATTTTTTGGGGGGTGGTTGCAATCCTGCTGCGAACTCAGACATCTATATTTTTTGTTTGGCTTTTTTTCTTTCACTGTTTCCTGCTGACCAAGGTTGTCAATCCTTTCTGCATGTGGTTACTCGAGTAGACGATTGGAGGCGCTCTAGTAGCCAGGTAATGTGTTGATGCTAGCGGCGTTTATTGCAAACGTCGCTGCTCTGATCCTCAGCTCACAGGTAAGGCAAGCAAATTCGTTGGTTGTGCCTTTCAAACGACAAATTTCGGCCCCGGCACTCCAAATTCCCACCCATGTATCAGCGCACAACGTGCAATTTGTTGTCGTGCCTTTCCACACTGTCGTGCGTGTCAACTTCCTCGTGAGGCCTTGTTTTTGCCCTTTCGTGTTGCGGTTTGTGGAATTTGCCTGGGTCTTTGCAGCCTCGACCTGCGTCATTCAATCAGCGAGCGCGCGTGTCGACATTCGGTGGAGCCCTCGGCTGTGCTCTTTGCCTTCGGGTCCAACAAAAGTAATTAGGGAATTGACGTCACTGGGATAGGCAATCCAGGGGGTTGGCCGCTGCTCATGCTTAATTGCCCCAACCACATTCGCATGAGGCACTTTCAAGACAACGAGCTAGTTGAGGCGTTGTAGAAACAACCGCATTTACTGGTATCTTGGGGATCCACCATGCCCCAGGATTTATTATGCTTTTTATCAGGTCAAGGTCAACCTTGACTCGAATTAATGTACACTTTTGACAACTCACTCCGCACGTGGCTGGCGTGATTAAAGCTCTCTACACGAGCTCTGGTCTTGTTCTCGTATTAGCGTTGGAAGGTTGGTGCTAGCATCAACAAGGGATCTGGTACCGTTATTTGAGTGGTTTTCTCTTTGTTACGGGCAAACTTAACATAGTCGTTGTCCGTTAGGCTTAAGCAAACATGTAGTACAGAGTGGAATTCTCGTGGTCAGTGCAGCGTGTTGCAAGTGCTCTCCGATCCACACAGGAGCTGAGTCACTGGGCTTCGTACTTTGGCTTGTACACTCTCTTATTCGGATCCGATCGAATTAGGATTGTTGGTAGTTGGTGCAGGTGGTGCGCCAATCCCTCCGACTCGCCACATAATCGAAGAAAAATAGTGGTAGCGTACAGCTGAGGGATTTTCATGTGGCCAAAGTGCAAACTACTGTTAACGCTTAAGAAAATAGGTCCCATCAAGCACGAATTCTTTACGATGTGACGTCTTGTGTCTGTAGTTAACGGCCGGATTTGCGCTCAAGTACTTTTGTTGTTTCTGTCTATGCGAAGCCAGATTGCTGGTACAAAACGCTTTGCAACTGGATCTGTTTTTTATAGCACCAGATCGTGATAACCAGACAGCAGCCGCGAGAAAACCCAGTTTTTTTGCTTGTGGTACTTTCCACCGCACAGTGGACACCAGACCAGACAGGCCTAACAAGGTTTCGCAAGCCCGCCATTTGTCCGCACGACAAAATGGCAACATCGCCGCCTGCGTTCAGCTTCCTGACTTTTGATTTACAGCCTTGAATTTGGCGTTTCGACAGGAAGTTGCTGCTGCTGCCGTTTTGCAAGGGTACCCACCCACTGCAGGCTGCGTTAATACTATTGCATGTTTTGCAACGCCTCCTTGGGTTCGCTGTTGTCATGCTCTCCGTTGTGTGCCACGGTTGCGACCCGATCATCCTTGTGTTTTGCATCCCGTCAAAACCAACTATCATGCAGTCCTTGTGACCGGCATGCTTGCGCATGCCCGAAATCCCCTTACCTTCGGACTAAGTGTGTTCTATTTTCACATCCACCAATTGAATGAACCCATTTGATGTTATCTTTCTGCGACCGTGGAACCACAGCAAGATATGGCAAAATTGCGTTGATTTTATTGGAACAGTAGTCTTTGCAGAGGCGGCAGTGGTGCTGAAATCGAGTACCTGTGGGATTAGCGGCACGCAGCACGACGGTATTCCATGCTTTGCATTGGAGACGTCAGTGAAACCTTGTCATTTGCTGCGTCTGTCAGCAGTCTGTTCATTGATCATCTTTTGGTGACTCGCTTCAGTTGATACCGCGATGTCATGGCAGTCTTAGCAAGCATCAGTCAATAATACATTTGAACAAGAAGTAGGTGTAAAAGGGAAAACATACTGTTTGCGGTGTATACAAATTAGGGAAGCGCGCTCAGCGACCGAACCCAAGCTGCAAAACACCGGAGACAGATTTGAATGTGGATAGTTACAACGGGGCTCGCGTTTCCTCATCCGTGGCCTCCTTAGCCCCTCCTTGTCTTGGGTAAACGAGGTTCTGTCTATGAAAAAGCGAACACCTGGCATCACATTTTAACTCAGCTGCTGTCGCCACTGCAACGACAGAAATGTGTACCCTGGAATTTTGTATGTGTGTGTGTGTGGGCTTCGTCGGTTCAGTTTAGAACAGCGTAAGGTTATTTGGTAAATAGCAAGCTTCTCCAATGTCATTTAAGGGCTGACATCAACTGTCTGCTTCTCGCATCTAGATTGTCTTGACGGCATTTGACTTTTACTTCGCTGAAACAAATAACATTTGGTAGCGGTAAGCCAGTTGAGTAACACAGGAGCACGTCAATCAATAGCCAGTGGTTTTGTTGTAGGAATTTAACTCATTTCCGATTGCCAAGTGCATCCCTTCGATCTACACCGAAATTCCACGGATTCAATTTAGAAAATGGAATTTTTCCAACAATTTCCGGAGTCATCTAGCCCTCTATTGTCAATCAGGCTTCCTGATTTTGCAGTGATTTATGCTCTCTGATGATCGCGTTTGCGGCCTTGGTGGTGCTTTTTGTGATCGTTTCCTGGGCACGTTGGTGGTCCCATGCAACTAACTCCAAATTTTATTGCCAGTTGTGTGAGATTTCTGTAATTTGCCTTCACAACAAGATCTACCAGACCTATTTCCCGTTTCAAATGAGACATCTGTTGATAATCTGAGTTTTCTACTGTGGTTTCATGGTTTTTCTGTCGTCTTCTGTTTTCATGATGTTCGATAGTGTGAAAATTCTATTGATTCACATAGATGTGATACATGCTTCTGACATGGTGGGCCCAGGATGTCTTGTATCGAGACGGGTTAATTGAGCTTCGTCTCGGCTGCATATTTTGGATGCACATAGCGTGGTGCCTTTATACCACTTTCATTGAAACCTGCGTACTAGCATCGCTCATTAAGTTTTCCTTATCTGAAGCCTCAACACTCTCCTGGCGCCTAATTGTAAGCTTCTTCGAGTTGGCACAACCGCCAAACAATCGATGGAACCTTGTTACTCCAACGTATGATAACCGTTCTTGGGATTTTTTTTTTTCAGTACCAACCTGTCCCGACTGCCCTTTCGATTATATCGCATG